CCAGCCACTTCCGATAATCTCTCATCTCTTCGCACAGTCAACTTATTTTCATATATGCGGGATCCAAGCACGCGTCCAGCCTGACCCGTGTAGATGCGAGGACAGTTTAGGCACGGTAGTGCGATACACTACACCCGACTACTCACTGGGGTTAACTCGATCCTGCCTTTTTGTGACCCTCCCGCGCATGCTATCTTTGGGTCGGTGTGCAATTCCGATGCCTTGTCTCGCAGCAATGCGCTCGGTCGCCTCTGACACGTCCGTGCATAGTGTACCATTGATGCTGTTTCTGGTTAGGTCCTCCGGGGACGAACACGTAGACGTCGGCTTATGAACGTCTTTAGAGAGCCGTTCCACAAAAAATTGATCGCGGAGGTATAGGCCTCATGCACTGCAATGAGTCTGAATTCGTTGGAAGTTGATATGAAAATTCAATAGCTGCATGGTGTCCATAGTCCTTATTTAGGTCGCTGTTCCCTTTTGGTCGTTGTGACAAACAAATTCTGACAAGTTAAGTCAGCTGCTGCTCCTTTTCCTCCCTCGTGACTTGTATATATGGGACGGTTTCGTTTTTGGGCAGTTTTATTTATCTCTTGCCTCTTCTTCTTCTTTTTAAAAGCAATGTGCTGTTGTCGATCCCGTTGCGCCGCCCGCTGTTCTGAAAGCATTCGCCGAACACGGTCTCCGCCTAACCGCTATCCTGATCACTCATCATCACTGGGACCATGCAGGTGGCAATGAGGAGCTGGTGAAAAGTCTGAAGGCGCAAGGCATCACCGGCCTTGAGGTTTATGGTGGCGGTACTGGAATTGGCGCTCTTACGAAGCAGGTCAAATCAGGTGACCAGATCACGCTCGGTGACCACGTCACAATTAAGTGCCTTTCAACGCCCTGTCATACGCAGGATCACATTTGCTATTACGCGACCGACCAGGCCAACCCCTCTGAAGACGGTTGTGTTTTTACAGGAGACAAACTCTTCCTAGCTGGTTGCGGCCGCTTTTTTAAGGGAATACCCCCGCAGATGTACGTTTTGCATTGCATCGTTTTTCAATGTAGAACTTGT